GCCTAATATTGTGTATAAGAGGTCATACAATACGTTTTGTAGTGATTCCTATGTTGTTGATGTAAAGAATATATGTTAGTCCGTGGTGTGTAATGAGGAGCAAACAGACACTTGACACATTTATGAAATTGCTTATTCCAGTTACTAATAAGCATGCACCCATTAAGTAAAGGACTAAAAACTGTTAAATCCCAGTGGATTGATGAGGAATTGAAAATGTGTATGGTTGAGAGGGATGAGGCAAAAGGAATGGCAAATAAGTCTGGCTGCACAACCGATTGGCAAACGTATTGCAAATTGAGAAATCATGTGACTAAACTGAATAAAAATAAGAAGAAACGACACTATGAAACAAGGATAAATGACAAAGAATTATAGTAAAAAGCCTTGGAGCACCTTAAATGAAATGTTGGGTAAAAAGGCAAACTCAGCTCCATCATTCATGGAATCAGATGGCTCATTCATCACGAAACCAACTGATATTGCCAACTACTTTTAATAATTTTTTCATTGGCAAGATTAGCAAACTTAGGCATGACATGCCAGCAACAATTGCTGACACTACACATCCAAGTATATCTGACCAAATTATGAAAGACAAGCATTGTAATTTTGAATTCCGTAAAGTGAGTGTGGAAGAGGTGAACATTATTGTTGTCTATTAACAATGACAAGCCACCGGGGTCTGACAACTTGGATGGAAAATTGCTGAGGATAATAGCGGACGATATTGCCACTCCTATTTGCCATATTTTCAATTTAAGCCTACTATAATGTGTGTGCCCCCAGGCTTGGAGGGAAGCAAAAGTCATTCCGCTACCTAAGAATAGTAAAGCCCCCTTTACTGGCTCAAACAGCCGACCAATTAGCCTGTTACCAACCCTTAGTAAACTATTGGAAAAAATTGTGTTGGACCAGATACAATGCTATTTTACTGTAAACAAATTGACAACAAACTTTCAGCATGCTTATAGAAAATGACATTCAACAAGCACAGCACTTACACAAATGACTGATGATTGGCTGAGAGAAATTGATGATAAAAATATTGTGGGGGCTGTTTTGTTAGACTTCAGTGCGGCTTTTGACATTATCGATAATAGTCTGCTGCTGGAAAAACATATGTGTTATGGCTTTACACCCCCTGCTATAATGTGGATAAAGAGTTACTTGTCTAACAGAACACAGAGGGTGTTCTTTAATGGAAGCCTCTCAAACATAATCCAGGTAGAATCAGGAATTCCCCAGGGCAGCTGTCTCGGCCCCTTGCTTTTTTCCATCTTTAATAACGACATGCCACTGGCTTTGAGTAAAGCCAGTGTGTCTATGTATGCGGATGACTCAACACTACACACGTCAGCTACTACAGCAACTGAAATAACTGCAACACTTAACAAAGAGTTGCAGTTAGTTTCGGAATGGGTGGCAAGGAATAAGTTAGTCCTGAATATTTCCAAAACTAAAAGCATTGTATTTTGGTCAAATCATTCACTAAACCCTAAACCTCAACTACATTCGTAATGAATAATGTGGAAATTGAGCAAGTTGAGGTGACTAAACTGCTTGGAGTAACCCTGGATTGTAGACTGTCATGGTCAAAGCTGGGGAGAAGTATGTCCATAATTAAGCACTGCTCTGCCTTCTTAACAACACTATCAACAAGGCAGGTCCTACAGGCCCTAGTTTTGTTGCACATAGACTACTGTTCAGTAGTGTGGTCAGGTGCCACAAAGAGGGACTTGGAAAAATTGCAGTTGGCTCAGAACAGGGCAGCACGGCTGGCCCTTAAAAGTACAGAGAGAGCTAACATTGATGACATGCATGTCAGTCTCTCCTGGCTCAGAGTGGAAGAGAGATTGACTTCATCACTGCTTGTTTTTGTGAGAGGTGTCGACGAACTGACTGTACCGAGCTGTCTGTTTGGAATACTGGCACACAGCTCAGACACCCATGCATACCCCACAAGACATGCCACCAGAGGTCTCTTCACAGTCCCCAAGTCCAGAATGGACTATGGGAGGTGCACAGTACTACATAGAGCCATGACTACATGGAACTCTATTCCACATCAGGTAACTGATGCAAACAGTAGAATCATATTTTTTTTAAACAGTTAAAAATACACCTTGTGGAACAGCGGGGACTGTGAAGAGACGCACACACAGGTACATACATATAGACACTCACTCTACACACAGTACACATGGATGTTATATTGTAAATATGTGATAGTGGAGTAGTGGCCTGAGGGAACACACTAAATGTATTGGGTAAAGTGTTATGAAATATAATTTCATGTAATATTTTAAATTGTATATAACTGCCTTAATGTTGGAGGACCCCAGGAAGAGTAAGGCAGCAGCTAATCGGGATCCTTAATAAATACAAAAAATTGAAATACAAATGGTGTAGAATACGAGACATCTCACAGACACGTGAGCTAGCTAGTTAGCTACAACACACAGGTATAGTTACTCCAAAAAAAAAGCCAAAGTCATTCCTTTACTCTTCGTCATCATCATCAAAACATTTATCCAGTTTTGCTCCTAATGAGATGCACTGAGGCTAGCTAAGCTAGCTAGCTATAACGTTAGGCTAAAGTACATTTTGTGTATAGCAATCAAAGCTAGCTAGCTCAACTTGGCTAGCTTGGCTTGTAGTGATACTAGCAAGCCCGGTTATGGCCGAATCGATCACAAAATTATACTGTACTGAACATGAACAACACTGCCTCGTGTAAAAAGAGAGATTATATTGCCATCTAGCTACCGACTACAAAACAACTTACTCGTTTGTCATTTGCCCTCCTGGTCCAGCTGGTCTATGCTGCCGTCACCAGTTGATCTTGGAGGTTCTGAAGGACATCTCCAGCACCACTCTATCCATATGTGCATAGAAACTTTGATGGTCTGTCACACACACACGATTCATGGGGTTTGCAGTGACCCTCTCCAGTAAGAACTGTCCGCGATCTAATTTGTTGCAGCACAGACTTATTTTTCTGTCAGCATGGCTGGACAGCACTCGCAATTCTTGTTCTCTCTCAACTCCTCTTCAGCATATTCCAGCTCAAATTAATAGCCCTGTATGTCCCTATGTAAAATAAATCAAAGACTGTTTTGTAGTCCAGCTCTTGTTGGAAAAAGAATCATCTGAAGCAGCCATTGTAATTATTTAGCAATCTCGGATATACAGTGCACGTGAACATAGCTCCTTTGAACCCATAGAAACTAGTACTGCCCCCGTTTTGAAAAGCCTGCCTTCGAGAGTGGGAACACAATTGGACAAGGAACTAGGGCTACCGTCAGGCTGCAGTCTTTACAAAGCCAGGTAAAATGAGTCAACCTAGACATCCTGCAATGTCGTGGCATATAGGAACATCATTGAGACAAGTCCAATGGCTCTATTGAACAAGGCCAACCATATCTACTCACTGCAAGCATTTTCGTCCAATCGGTGAACACAAAGGCCACAATAATTGTTACAAAACACGTTGTCATTCACTTTTAGATCAGACAGCAGGCTCAATCAAACAATGTAATTGGTTGAACTCTCCGAGCACGAAAATAAACAAATACCACTATGGTGCATAATTATGTCTGAAACGCCTCTCATCAATTATAATTATGTAGGGAGACTGGAAGAACACCCCAAATAGTGTCTAGCAGTGAAGTTTCACTTCATCTGGTTACAAGATTGTAACCAAATGGTGACCATCTCATCAATGGAAACCTTTCCAGGCTCTTTAGGATCACAATACTTACACAGAGATACTGTAATTTAAGATTCAGTGCAGGCAGTGAACATATAATATTTTTTTTTAAATCTAAACAGAACACATTCACTCTCACAGGTGGCCAAAAAATAAAGTGAAAGCCACCCCCCCCCCAATAGGCCACGCCGCCAACTCTTCTGGTAGGCTGCCGCCACTACATTGCACCCACCACTATTCAATGTGAATGCGCATGAGGTGTTGAAAGTGTTATAGGCTTTGAGGTTTTGATTGATTTGGTTTTCGACTTCAATGTTGGTTCTGTTTGGGTGTGGTTTGCCCTGATTTGGAATCATCTTCATTGGTCAGGATGTGTTGCACCTGTCGCCTGGTTAGTCAGTTGTTAGTTTCCCCTGTGCTGGCACAGGTGATATTTAAGAGTGGCTGGCCCAGTGCACCAGTTAGCAGGAGAGATGTTGGAAGAGCGACACCGCTGTTTAGCGCTTTCTCTTTAAGTTGTGAAACAAACCCTTTTATCTTGTCTCACCTGCTTGGTTTGTTCCACGGTTATTTGCACTCCCCTACCTAAGTTGGTGTGGGTTTTCTTTTCCTTTAGTTTCTGATATCAGGCTAATCTAGTGGGCATCCATTGTGGGTGTGTGTTAAGACCCTACTTGAGTTTGCTTGGTCAGAACCCAGTCAGTAGGCACCCCCATGGATGCCTTTCAGAACCAATTTTAAACCCCTGCGTGTTTCGTTCTGGTTTTCAACGTCATTTGGTAGTTCCCTATTTCTGTTGAGCCACGATTTTTGGCTTCTTATTGGGGAACGTAACAAAAGCAATTTAGAAGCTTTCATTCAATAAAAAAAAAAATCACATTGATCTGTCAAATTCGTTATTTGATTTCAGACAAATTGAATAGAATAAGGTGAACGAACCAAAGTGTAATTTTGGATCACACCAATCAGAAAAAGCACTTCAGATGAACAACAGTGCCGTCCCACTTTTACAGTGCAGCTTAGGATCAGGATTTGTTGGTCTAAGCATCAGAAATAGCTGGAGATTATCTGTGTTACCTGTGTATGGTTAGAGTTAAGGGTCAGGTAAGGTAAGGGGTTATCTTGCCTGCGTAGAATAATAGTTAGGGTGAGGTAAGGTTATGGTGAAGTGTAGTCTTACCTGCATAGGCCACTGTCAGAGCAGAGTTAGGGTTAGAGCTAGGGTCAGGTAAGGTTTTGGTGAAGTGTAGTCTTACCTGCATAGGCCACTGTCAGAGCAGGGTTAGAGCTATGGCCAGGTAAGGTTATGGTGAAGTGTAGTCTTACCTGCATAGGCCACTGTCCCAGCAGGGTCTGTTCGTAGTCTGGCCCTCAACGTCTGTCTCTGTGCCTCTGTAGGATTCAGTCCCAATGCATCCAGAGCCTGCCAACACACACACAGAGCTTGCACACACCGTATCAAAGACACACACCCTACCCTCACACATTTATACACACACAGAGTAGTAAACACACACACACCTAGCGTGACTGAGCATGCTGGATGCGAATACTGCCTATCGATTTTGCCATGATGTTGTGGGAGAGGGATTGGAGCAGCTTGGACAACATGCGCACGCACACACACACACACACTGGCTTGACTGTACACTCTTAGAAAAAAGGGTTCCAAGTAGAACCCTTTTGGGTTCCATGTAGAACCCTCTGTGGAAAGGGTTTTACATGGAAGCCAAAAGGGTTTTACCTGGAACCAAAAAGGGTTCTTCAAAGTGGTCTTCTATGGGCACAGCCAAAGAATCCTTTGAGGTTCTAGATAGCACCTTTTTTAATAAGAGTGTAGGCATCAGTGTGATTAGGCCAGAGCAAATGACATCCCAGCAGCAGTAAAAGCTTATTGAGCAGTGTCTCTGCAGGGAGGGGTCAAAGTCAACACAATCATTACACTGCAATGACCCTAGTGTCAAACCACATCCATACTGTACACACACATCTACAGACACACCAAGACAATTCCAAACATTCCAACGCACACTCACAAATCCTCAGGTACAGGCACATACAGTCATACCAGTGGAGGCTGCTGAGGGGAGGACGGCTCATAATAATGGATGGAACGGAGCAAATGGAATGGCATCAAACACATAGAAACCATGTGTTTGATACCATTACACTTATTCCACTCCAGCCATTACCACAAGCCCATCCTCCCCAATTAAGGTGCCACCAGCCTCCTGTGAGTCATACAGTTATTACTTGTTAAACAAAAGCTCTTTCTCTGAGCAATTGTATTAGTATAAAATCATTATTTATTTTCTGCATACAGTATAGCTCAGTATTTGTTTTATTTATTTTATACAGTATATTTTGCTCTTTATCAAGGGTGCCAATCATTATGGACCTGACTGTACAGTACACCAATACACGCTAATAAATACACACACTTCCACATCCACGCACACACTGACCTGCTCCAGCCTCTCCAGTTTGAGGCGACAGATGGAGCTGAGGGAGCACTTCCTGTGTGGTGTGTGCTGGCTGCTGATTGGCTGACAGGTAGGGTAGGATTCTGAGTAGCGGGACACAGGTAAACAGGTGGATCAGTGACTGGCTATGTTAATGTTTCTCTTCTTTGATGTTTATGACAAGTGACTTATGTTTATTGCATTTACATGTGGAAATAGAAAAGCTTATAAAATGGAGAGAAAGAAAGAAAGAAACAGGTCTGCGTTCAGTACATAAAAGCATAATAGAACGCTCAACTGAACGGAAATGCTGTACTGAATGACCAGTTGAAAAACAGGGAGGGGTTAGGTTGTGGGTTCAAAATGCAGAGCTGCCCTTTAAATGCGTCACTCATTCCTTCAAGCAACACCCCGGCACACCCACCAAAAGGAGCAAATGTATCTCAAAGTCTGTTCAAGAAAGTTTTGGGAAAATACGTAGTTCAGTAAAAACCGCTCAGCAATGTAGCAAACATTTAAGCGAACTGAACGCACCCCAGGTGAGCTACAGGGGTAAACAGACAGCTTCACAGAGTCTGGAGCGAGGCATAATTAGAGAGGAAGGCACAGAGAAAAGACAGAAAGAACGAGGGAGGAAATTACTGTTGTGATGGACGGCTCTGCTTCACAGCTTTTCAACCCCCAAAATTGTATTTGTTAAAAAATCTACCAAGTTCACGACATAGCAAGATGATAGACAGATGCAGTCCTCTGTACAGTCCTCTGACAGACAGATACAGATATAGTCCTCTTTAGCTCTGTTGGTATAGCATGGTGTTTGCAACGCCAGGATAATGGGTTTGATTCCCGGGACCACCTGAAAGTAAAATGTATGCAAGCATGAATGTAAGTCACTTTGGATAAAAGCATCTGCAAAATGGCATATGTTGTTATTATTATATCAAATTGAACGTTTGGAAGTGGTGAATCGAGGTAGTTCATGTAGTTAGTGTAGGTAAAGCAGGTAGTTAATTTAGGTAAAACAGTTTTAGGTTACGTTGACAAATGCAGTAAACGTGTCGAGGTAAAATGTAAAGGAGTCATATCTGATTATACTGCTGCACCAACTGAACATTAACATGCTGGGCAACACTTGAAGGAAGCCTATGTGCCAATCATTCACATCTCTGTGTCAACTGATCATTAACATGTTGAGCAACACAAAACATCCAGACAACACCACTCATCACCATCCCAAAGTCGCTCGAATAACATTATTCTGAGAAGGGATTCCATCTGGAAGAAGACAGCGTGTTGTTGAGACGGAGGCAGACAGGATGTCTTGTTTTTGACACCTTCAGATACAAGCGTGGGATGAAATGTCCCCTAGACATCCAAGGCCAGATTAGCATTTTTCCACCTACTAGACAGGTCTTGTTTTGACACCTTCAGATTAAGCGTCTCCTGCCTACCTATATCTCCTCCTTCCCGGCTGCACGCCACACCACGCTACATCTGTCCCTCTCTACCAGTCTACACGGCAAAATCTCCATAGTGTTAAAAAACAAACACATTTTATTCAGAGTTCAATCAACACTGAATGTGTTGAGTCTTTGGACCCATATAGGCATCGGAACAGTGTTAAATTAACACACTGCTAAGTGTAAAGCCTTATTCAAATATTAACACTCAGTGTAAAATTGAATATTTTTTACACTGGAGAATTTGCTGTGTATCTTTTCTTCGTACCAACGCAACAGTCTCCGATATATTCATCTGAGCTCAGGTTCCCAAATGTTTCCCTATTCCCTATATAGTTGATTACTTTTGACCAGGGCTCATATGGCCTACTATAGAGAACAACATAGGGCGGTATAGAGCAGAGTAGAATATACTTAATTTTCTCACCAGAGGGAACTTTGGTACCCCACATAACCTTACAGAATTACTTTGAACTGCTTAGAGTGGTATAGAACAGAGTAGAGAGTAAATGTAGAGTAAAGTAAATTTCTTTAGAACTGTACAACCCAGCTCAGAGCAGCTTAAAACTGCCTAGAACAATAACACAGAACAGATACACACCAAAGCACAGAACAGTTGAGAACCCTTGAAATTACACAGAGACACACGTGGAGCGAGGTGCGCGTGTGTGCTTGACAAGATATCATGTTAGAACTGGTTTCAAATGTAGGTTTCAAGTATAGGTCACATCATTACTTGGGCTGGTTGTTTGCCTGACTCACTGACTGAGTTTATGACATGGCTCTGTCCTCTGGAGAGAGATAAGGGCTAAGGCACACCCTCATTTGACTATTATCTCTTCTTTACCACCTGCTGTCACCTGTTTCCAAGTATAGTTCCTACCTAGAGGTGTGGTCCCAAAGGGCACCCTATATAGTAAAGTACTTTTAACCAGATCCATATGGGCCCTGGTCAAAAGTAGTGCACTACATAGGGAATAGAGTGCCATTTGGGATGAATTCAAAGTGAAGGTGTACTGTACGTGAGGGCGGGACTGGGACATGTCCTAAAGCCATGGGACACCATGTTCCCAAATGTACATCAACAACAACTCACTACACCACTTTCTGGTCTGGCTGCTTTAAGAAATGTCCGAATAGTTATATTAGCCCAGAGGCAACTGTGAAGGTGAGAGAGAGAGAGAGAGAGAGAGAGAGAGAGAGAGAAGGATAAAGAGGAGAGAGAGAGAGAGAGGGAAGGATAAAGAGGAGAGAGAGAGAGAGGGAAGGATAAAGAGGAGAGAGAGAGAGAGAGGGAAGGATAAAGAGGAGAGAGAGAGAGAGAGGGAAGGATAAAGAGGAGAGAGAGAGAGAGAGAGAGAGACCTTAAATTGAAATTGATAGAGAAGTAGACAGGTTTCTCACCAGGCTTGGCATCTGTGGTGCTGGGACTCTGAGCGGGGGAGGAGACACACGTCTGTTCTGTCCTCATTCGAACCTGCAGGACACAACCACACCAACCATTAATACCATATAGGAGGAATAACCATATTCACAGAAGACTTGAGTGGTATGTGTGTGAGTTGAACGTGTGTTTGAGCCTCAGCCTCTAACCTGGCTAAGGTTGACAGAAGGCAGGGTCTCGCTGGCGGGGTTGGGGGTGGAGGTGATCTTGGGCACCACCAGGAGAGCCCCAGGGAGGGCTGCAGGGAGTGTGGTTCTCCTGTGCTGGAGCAGTGATGCAGGGGGAGGCAGGGCCCCCAACACGGCCAGGGTCTCTCTCCTGGTGGAGGGCACTGCGGGGGCTCCGCTGGCTGGGCCCTGGGGGGTGATAGGGCTCTGGGGGCCACTGCTGGAGGAAGCAGAGCTGGAGGAAGACCTGTGTCTCATAAATGCTATCTCCACCGTAGGGTCTGGTCTGGAGAAGGACAGACAGAGAAGGGAGAATGGATTGGATTACTTTTAATGTAGTTAATAGGGATACATCCCAAACGGCACCCTGTTCCCTATAGAGTGCACTATTTTTTACCAGGGCCCATAGGGATCAAGTCAAAAGTAGTGCACTATTTTAAAAAATATGGTGCCATGAACGCATCCTAGGTTACAGTTCACACAATTACTACAGTAGAGATGGATGTGTTTACTCTCCTTCTACTCTATCTTTATACAGGAACCCCCTTGAAAACAAGATGATGTGGACCTCAGGAGGTTTATCCTGTCAATACATATTCAGGTAAAGTCATACAGGTGCGCCCCACCTGAGTTTGGTGCGTGTCAGGATACTTCTAGCCTCCTCATAGGTCACTCCGATTAACGACTCCTTATTAATCGACACCAGCTGGTCTCCTGGCTGTAGTCTACCGTCCTGGAATGCAGATAGATAATATTGTTAGGTCATTAGCCTATAGTTTGACTATAAAAAACATGGTTATTGTCAGTTGAACACTTTCCTATTTAAAATATGTCTATTTGAACACCTCTTTTGCGCTTATTAACTAACAAATGTTTCCTGTCTCACATTGTCTCGCACTTTATTATGTCTTCCCACAAAACACTCTGTAAAAACCCATGTATAACACCTGATTCCCCCTATATCAGAAGGTAAACATAGTGACAAGTCACCCTCTGGCAGTCTCCTCCAGGTACTATTTCCTGAATCAACACCATTGGTCCCTCGGCTCGGTTAGCTCCGCCTTTGATGATGAGGCCCAGGCCTGTTCCCTTTGAGACGCATATCAACTGAATGACGCTGTCGCTAAGGAGAGAAGAGGAGAGAGGGAGACAGAGGGAAAGAGAGAGATGTATAAAAATAGGGCAGGGAAAGAGAGAAAGAAAGGGACAGTCACAGAGAGAGGAAGAAGAAGCGAGAGAGGGCAGTGATGAGGGACACTATCTCAGACTAGCACACCGACTGTGAGCATGATTCAATAAATACACAAAGACACACAGGCTTCATTCAGACTGTCCCTGAACGAACCTCTCTTCCTTTGTATTTGTCTCTGTCTATCTCTCTCGCTATAAATGTGGGGGTTTCTCTTCTGTCAGAGAGCAACGGGACTGTTCAGCATCATACACACATTCAATATATTTTTTTGTGTTACACAACTAGATCTTATACAAAAGGATATCAAGGATAAACTGTTACAATCTTTCGATCTATCCGTCTACCAGTTATTTTTCTGACTGTTTTCCACAAAGTGGTCTTGGTGACACAAGGACATCAGGGATATAGAACCTGGCCATATATCCATCTGGTTCTTTGGGAAAAACATTATGTGTGGATTTTAAATTATGAGGACAAACAGACATTTACATTTTTGTCATTTAGCAGACGCTCTTATCCAGAGTGACTTACAGTTAGTGAGTGCATACATTATTTTATATTTTTCATACTGGCCCCCCGTGGGAATCGAACCCACAACCCTGGCGTTTTCAAACGCCATGCTCTACCAACTGAGCTACATCCCTGCCGGCCATTCCCTCCCCTACCCTGGACGACGCTGGGCCGATTGTGCGCCGCCCGAGACAGTGACAACAAGTGCAATATCCCCGGTCCTTCAACTGTCTGGTTCTATTTCTGACTGACACTTACTTGTTGAAGACATGCTGTGTAGGGGTTGTGTTAGGGTTCGACGTATAGGGGGGCCCAGTGGTATAGAGGGGTCCAGGGGTGTAAGGGGGTCCTGTGACCCCCTCTTTAGGGCTGAGGAGCTGGGTGGTGGGACTGGTAGATCTGGAGGAGGAAGAGGAGGAGGCCGTGTCTGTCTTGCCTCCTGAAGAGAGAGAGAAAGGGCAGAGAGTGAGAGGGGGGGGGGGGGGGGGGGGGGGGGGAGAGCAGGAGAGAGAGGGGGAGAGAGAGGGAGGGCAAATAAAGCGATAGAGAGAGAGAGGGCAGGGACAGAAAGAGAAGAGAGCCGAGAGAAAAGGGGTTAGGTGTGAATCACACATTGTGAGGTGTAAAAACAGCTCTTTCTATTAGCATAGAGAAACACCAACACACACGTTAGCCACATTGTTGCCCAAAGTTCTCATTGATGTCAAGTCTATTACACATGCATCTCTCAAGGTAGGATTCAGCGCTCTATTATTTTAAATAATAGCATGTTGGATTTGAGTGTCGGTGAAAGGATATTTGGAGAGGGAGGCGGATTGTGAGAGGAGCTGGGCTAGCACTCAGCTGGAGAAGGTGAAAACAATTGTGAATATGGATGAGAGTAAGGATTGTGAAAGGGAAAATGGATGAGAATTAGAAGGAGTGCGAAAGTAGGAAGATGATGGTTAATAGACTATAGTGTTACGTGGAGATGAGGAGGGGAAGGGGGGATAACCCGGTCCTAGGTACAGTGGGTGAGTCCCAAATGGCACCTATTCCCTATATAGTCCACTACCTTTAACCAGGGCCCTTTTCCCAAATGGGTGCCATTTGGGACACAAAGGTCCTAGGTAAAGAAACTCACCTGTAGAAAGCTGTGTAGGGGAGACTCTCCCTGAGCTTCCTTTAAAACTGCTGTGGGAGCCATACTTATTCATCAACTCTATGAACTCCCGCCTGGAAGACACACACAAACTGTCAATTTACCCATAGTGCAGTAGATCTCTGTCTCCCTCCCATGGTCACAGAGATACATTGATTTCCAGTGACATCTGACAGGTGTAGACTCATTAAAAGTGGCTTCTTTAGTTCGTTAGTGGTTTAGATTAGGATTATTTGAGCTACATCAAATCAGGCTGCTAATCCAGTTTAATCTTGCGGTAAAGAGTCTACTGTCTTATGTGTTCAGGTAAAAAGTCTAGGTGCTTGGAGCCCTTGTTGGAGCCCGGCCATAAACTAATAATTATAATATGCCATTTAGCAGACGCTTTTATCCAAAGCGACTTACAGTCATGCGTGCATACATTTTTGTGTACGGGTGGTCCCGGGGATCGAACCCACTACCTTGGCGTTACAAGCGCCGTGCTCTACCAGCTGAGCTACAGAGGACCACAAGTATGTTTTGGACAGCGGGATTGACCTCTTGGCACAAACTGTCTGATCTGGGATTCAGTCTTGTGCCATACAGACTAAAAGATGAGGGTTCCTCAAGAGTTCTTTGTGGAACCATATTGACCCAAAGAACCATTGAGCCATTCAGTGGTTGTTTGCACTTCAGAAAAGGGTTCTTTCATCTTTTAGTGATAATTAAAATATAGGGGTGGCGGCTCATTTGAATACAGGCGTGGTTTACTCACAACTCTTTTTGTGCAACGGTGAATGACAGTGTCATTCCAGTTGATCTAATCTGTTGTGTTATACTATTATATGTTAAAAATGATATGGCCAGTGACAGTGTCTTGTGAAAGTGTCAATTGAGAACTGTTGTGTAAATCAGTGGTTATCAATTCTCTCCTCAGGGACCCCCAGCTGTACCAGGGTTGGCACACCTGATTCAACTTGTCAATTAACACAATAATAACACCTATGGAATTTTAACAATATAATATGGCTAACCAGACAAAATAAACCTGTATGGTTGATCATATACGGTTCTTTGTAGAACCTTTGAGATGGAGAAAGGTTTTTTCTCCATAAACGTTCTATAAAGAACCATTAAAAGGGGTTCTATACAGCACCAAAAAGGGTTGTAACCATAGCAGAAACTTTTTTGGTGCTATATAGAACCTTTTTTAAATAGTTATTTATATAACTGTAGGAAAGGGTTCTTTATAGCATCATAAAGGTTCCATTTAGAACCGTGTGAGCATGGTTCTTCATAGAACCATCAAAAAAGGGTTTTATATAGCACCAAAAAGGGTTCCGCTATGGTTACAAGCCAAAGAACCCTTATTTGGCACTATATAGAACCATTTGTTTTTAGAGCGTATATAGGGCCCAGAGTATTTCCTGATCACGGGCCCTAGGTATAGATGTCTGGTCTTGATAACTAGTGTTGTAAAATTGGCCCGTGTTGTAAAATTCTGGTAACTTTCCCAAAATGTCCTGGTTGTCCAGAAACCCTGTTTGGTATATTCCTGGAATCAGGAGTTTTGGAAAGCTACCGGAACTTTGCAACCTAACTGTGAACTTGTAGCCAGCCAGCAAAGGATGGACTAGAAGCTACTAGCTTGCCTCCATCATACCAACATGTAGGGTACTGCACTGTACTTGCTGAAGTCTGTAGTTGTTACGTAACTACAGGGAGTGAAGGTTCTTCATCCTAGTTTTTTCTGGGAGAGAAGGGTCCACCTCAGGACACAGTGGGCCCGGCAGACAGATGACAGACAGACAGTCTTCTGTCCTGTCCCTAATATGTCAGCGTGTATCTGTCCAGCTGTCCGGCGGTTGGGCTGTAGGGTGTGACTGTGATGTGGCTGACAAACAGTGAAAAGCACAGGGGCCAGTAGAGTGCCAGGTCCCTTTATGTCAGGCCCGGTGTACAAGACAGGGTGAGACGTGACAGAAGACTCGGTCTCGGACAGTGAGGACTTGTAATTTCTTCCCGAGACCAGCAGACTAAAAAACTCATAATTATCTGCTTCCATTTAGTCAGGCATAAAACCGCTTCTTTCTTGAAGCATTATCTGAACAGCCTTTATATCTATTATAGACGTTTGCGCAGTGGCGAACCTATAGGCCTTCAGTGTGTGACAGGTTCATGATTCTGAAAGGAAAGCAACCGTAGTATCAGCACACTCATGTAGGAGAATGCACTTTCTGTAAAACACAAAGGGCCAGTGGTGTAACGTTAGTGGATGGTATACACAGGTATAAACCTATACCCACCTTTTAGAGGTTTTAAAAATAGGCTCTATTTGACTCAACGTTCCATGAGGTACATTAAAGTATTGTTGGCAGAATAGATGGATGCAGTTCAATGCATGATTCATATAATTCACCAATACATTTGGTAGTCCAAAAAATATTGCTATCAGGTTGTAAATCACAGCTGGCCTGTTACATTGTTTGCTGCCTCCATTCAGGATGCTCCATTTCAGTTTTAATGACTCAATATTCTGGACAAAAACGGACGAATGTAACTAACGCTGGGAATGTCAATACAATCAAACTTGCAAGGGCAATGATCACAAGTCAATCATAACGTGGCTAATAGACTAGCTTATCCATTTATGTAGCAAGCTAAAAACACGGAGCCTAACGTTAGCTAGATCACTAGCTAGCTAGCTAGGTGCTAGGAGGATGTAATGTCATGCCATTGGAGGAATGGGTGAGTGTCTGACTTTTTCCCCTCATATCGTTTTTCGGTGGCTATACACAGCTAGAGATGCAGGTGTCATTTGGTTAGCTAGCATGAACTTGAACGACTGTTATCCAGTTAGCATATCTCTTGCGTTCGCAAATGCACTCTGGCTATCTACTTCAATTTCGGAGCAAGCTCGTCTGAGTGTGCCAGAGCGCAGAACAACTGATGAAATCACGAATGCGCAACACCTGCTGAATATGACTGGTGTCAGTAAACGCAGGCAAAAAAAAGTAATAGTTATTCAAGAACGCTCTAGATAACATGTTAACAGCCTAACCAGCTCTGCTGCGGCGAGTAAAATGGTCAGAATGAGGTGTTCTCTCATTTGTGTCTGGAAGTAACTAACTAGCAAGCTAGCCAACTTTAGCCAGTTAGCTTGGGTGCTTGGTTGGGACATGCAGATGGATGAGGAGGCTACAATTCCACATCATTTATCAGTGCAATTTTGACGGCCAACTAGCTGGAAAAGTTTGAGAGGGTTTATCTAATGTTCCTTCTTTAGATTTTAGCTCACCTTGCTCTGGCTAGTATTAGTTGTTGATATTGTATTAGTTGTTGATATTGTTGTTGTGCATAATTGAGGGAGAGAGAGCCTACCTTTTCATGGTTGTTTGATCAATAGGACTGTAAAGTTCCCAAATGTAAGAGGACTCCAGTGGTGTTTACATATTTGCAGAAATCCATTCAGGTGTATTTTGTGGCTTTTGGCGAATGCGTTCTAACGATCTAAAGTTGCACTGTTGCAACTGCCTGTAAACACACAGTAAGATTCAAAGTGAATGATGGCAGGCCCATGTGGCAAATGGCTTGTTTGTATAAAGGCCTACTGTAGCTCTGATTGGCTATAGTGCACCGGTCTGTGTAGACTCCGGTCTTGGACATTTACATTACATTTTAGTCATTTAGCAGAAGCTCTTATCCAGAGCGACTTACAGTTGAACAAGACAGATGTTTTTATTCCATTTTATTTCCTGCAGTGTCTATATTAATTGTCCAAACGCATGTCAGCTTTCCACTCTATATTGCTATAGAATATTCACAAATTCCCAAACATTCTAAGAATTTGTGAAAACGTGACCATATTTAAGTGGTCGCTTGTCAGAAAATGTTTAAAAAAGTGTAATTCTTCCTGGGCTTGTATATGAACAGATTTTAATAAGATTTGATGTTATTTTTATTTATTTTTTATTTTATCTTTTTTGGGGGGAATGGATCAGCTTAATATTGCAGATAGATTGTATCTTCTATCAATGTAATTATCTGCATCACTTCCAATCCCCCATGTTTTATATATATATATATATATATATATATATATATATATATATATATATACTCCCCTTTATTACTTTTCAACCCCACCATCCTTTCCCTACTTGGAGTAAATTAGTGAACAACAATGCCCAGGCCTCTACTTCCGGTCTATACTTACTATCTACACCTTATGGACAGAGTTAATTTTACAATAATTCTATTATATATATTTATTTTTATTTTTATTGCTCCTGAACTTCTTCTACTCTCAACCTCTCCGATCATTTTCATGATGTCCATCCGGTTTGCTTCTATATGCCATATCTTTCTAACTGTGCTCTTTCCCAAAAGCTCCCAACATACAACCTATATACTTATTATGGACACAGTATGCTTACATTATTAGCTATCTTTGTTATTATTTGTTGTTATTTGTTATTAGTCCCATCCTTCAACTCTATTCAATACCTCCCATCCATCTCTTAACACCATCCATATAGGATTTCTATTTGCCATATATATTTCAACCGTACTGTGATGTTTTACAAAAGTTCTGAACCTTTCTATTCTCATTGCTTCTACAGATTGTGAATTAAAATAAACATTTTTGCTAAAAGTATTATTATATTATTGATTGATTGACTATGACTTTTCAGATCACCCAGTAATGCTATCTGCAAGGTTAGTTCCAGGTAAATATTGCAATCCTTTAGCCATTCCTGGACCTGTGTCCAAAAACAAGCTACAAATGGACAGAACCAAAACAAATGATCTAATGATTCTGTCTCTTCACAGCAAAATCTGCAGAGCTGGGAAGATTGTATCCCCCATATAAATAACATTCTATTGGTAGCAAGAATTTTATATAATAATTTAAATTGAAAGATTCTAATTTTTGAATCCGGTATCGTTTTGCGTGTCAGTTCATAAACAATCTAAATGGGACGGCTGTCAATCCTTTGGTCCTTAAGTGAAACTGATATACTTTTTTATTTATCACAGTTTTCCTTAACCAATTATGTTCTTTAATGCAAGGCCGACAGACAAGTTCCTTACTTTCTCCCCCTTCCACTTTCCTCTTCCACTTTTGCGGTAAGGCTGCAATTATTTGGTTGTAATTTTGGGTAGAGCAGACATTTCCATATGTTTTTGTCAGCTGCATGTGCGACATAACTCCACCAGTCCTACCGATGATATCATTTACGAAGATTATACCTTTTTTAAACATTCTGTCAAAAAATAAAGGTTTTTTTTGTCAATTAGTATATTTGAATTTAACCACAATATTTGTTGCATTATTTGTTCTGTCGTTTCTGGAGGATTAAATTGAAATTGCAACCAACTTTCTACGGCTTGTTTTAGAAATAGTGACATTTGGGAGATTATTTCCTTTTCAAATAACTGAAAGTGAGAGGTTGTAATCTGAATAAAGGGAAAAAGGCCTTTCTTGAACATTGGGTGAGACAATCTTACTAATTTGCTTGAGAACCAGTTCGGATTTAAGTATAACGTTTGTATGACTGAAGCTTTTAGTGATAGGTCTAATGCTTTAATATTTAATAATAATAATAATTTGGTTGTAATCCAGAGAGGTTAGAAAATGTATCTAGATCCTCTATGAGGCTGTGGAGGGATTCTAGTTGTGGATTTAAAAGAAAACATGAATCATCAGCATACAATGACACCTTTGTTTTTAAGCTCTATATTTCTAATCCTCTGATATTATTATTGGATCTGATTTTAATAGCTAACATCTCCATGGCCACAATAAATAGATATGCCGATAGTGGACAACCTTGTTTCACTCCTCTTGACAGTTTAAAACTTTCTGAGAAATAGCCATTATTTACTATTTTACACCTAGGGTTACTATACATGATGTTGACCCATTTTATAAGAGATTCTCCAAAATTGAAATGCTCCAGGCATTTATATATAAACCCCAGTCGAACTTGATCAAATGCCTTTTCGAAGTCTGCTATGAATAGCAGGCCTGGTTTCCCATATTTTCCATAGTGTTATATTGTTTCCAATACTTGCCTTATATTATCTCCAATGTATCTTCCATGTAAAAAACCTGTCTGATTAGAATGAATAATATCCGACAATACCTTTTTAATTCTATGCGCTATACATTTTGCTAGGATTTTTGCATCACAACACTGAAGTATAAGGGGCCTCCAATTTTGTAAATGGACTGGATCTTTATATTTTCCACTTGTATCCTGTTTCAGTAATAATGAGATCAGACCTTCTTCTTGAGTGTCAGATAATCTACCATTTACATAGGAGTGGTTAAAACATGCTAATAACGGTCCTCTTAGTATATCAAAAAAGGTTTGGTATACCTCGACTGGTATGCCATCCAACCCTGGAGTTTTCCCAGACTTAATTGCATCCAGAAGTTCCTCCTCTGTAATTTCACCTTCACATGAGTCTTTCTGTGTGGCTGTTAATTTGACATTATCAATAGAAAAAAAATCTCTACAATTAGCTTCAGTTAGAGGAGATGGGGGCGACTGAAAATAAAACATATGCTTAAAGTACTTTGTTTCTTCCTTCAAAATATCATTTGGTGAATTATGGGTGACTCCGTCAATTGTAACCAGTTTCATTAAGTTCTTTTTGGTAGCATTCCTATGTTGAAGATTAAAAAAGAATTTTGCGCATTTTTCCCCATATTCCATCCAGTTTGCTTTATTTTTATAATATATTACACTTGATCTTTCTTGAATAAGTTTCTCCATTTCTTTTTGTTTTTCCTCTAATTTATTCTGAGCCTCTATGTTACAGTTTTTATTGCCATCTATCTGTTCTGTTAGACTTTCTATTTCCTTTCTTAGTATAAACTATTTTGACCTAAATTGCTTTTGTTTTCGAGATGAGTACTGAATTGCATGACCTCTAAAGGCACATTTAAAGGTGTCCCATACAATAAGGGGATTCGCTGTACCTATGTTATGTTGGAAAAAGTCAGTTATAAATTCCTTTGTTCTAATTATAAATAAATTATCATCCAATAGGCTTTGATTAGATTTCCAATATCCTCGCCCACGTGGAAATTCAGTAAGAGTAATGTATATGCCTATTATATGATGGTCCGACCGCATTCTGTCCCCTATCAACACTTTTTTTTACTTTTGGTGCCAACGAGAATGAGATAAGAAAGAAGTCAAGACGACTAGCTTGATTCAGTCTCCGCCATGTATATCTCACTAGATCAGTATATTTAAGCCTCCATATATCTACTAGTTCTAATGTATCCATGACATTCACAATTTCCTTAAGAGCATGTGGGTGATTGTTTGTGGTGTGATTTCCTTTACGGTCCATTGAGCTATTTAAAACAGTATTATAATCCCCCACCATAATAATATTGTCTTGAGTTGCTTGCAGGCTTGATAATTTATTATATATATTGTCAAAGAATTGTGGATCATCATTATTTGGTCCGTAAAGGTTAATGAGCCATATCTGTTTAAGGTCCAATAACATATTTAAAATAATCCATCTACATTGTGTATCTATTTGTACAATTTGCACATTCGGATCGAAATTACTATTAATTAATATCATCACCCCTTTTGAATTTCTTTGCCCATGGGAGAAGTATATTTCCCCCCCCCCCCCATTCTTTTTTTCCACGCTACTTCATCTCGAATTATTGAATGAGTTTCCTGTATACAATAGATATTATATTCCTTCTCTTTGAGCCATGTAAATATTGTTCTTCTTTTGTTATTATCAGCTAAGCCATTACAATTATAACTGGCTATACTTATTTCACCATACACCATAATGAGATACAAGTTTCAAGTCTATTTATTATTATATATGTTTGTAAATTTACCAATAAAAAATAGCGTAATGATTGAGTGTCCATATAGCTGTACCGTGATATTTGCATTGCTACGGAGTAACCCTTCAATTGTTCTCCACTAATTCCCCCGCTAAAGCCCCTCCCCATCCCAAGTTGAGCCGTCATTCCAGTGATCAGCATCCCACCCACGTCCCTCCGTATCCCTAAGGCCCCGAGAGGCCAGGACCCATCCATCGAAAACAGCACACAGTACCACCCACAAAACAGAAGCAGATTAACCGCCAAAAGCATTTCCAATGCTTTCACCTCTATATATATATATATAACTATTTTTTTTAAATTATGCATATCCTATTTTCCATCATTATCAATTAATATGCGTAATAATGTCGGCAGTTCACGCGTAGGATTCTAACATAACCCGGATTGCCATTGTATAAGATTTGATGTTGCTAAAATGCTGTCAGTTCCACTTTAAATGTAACAATGTTTCACACGCAAGTTATTTTCAAAGAGATGGCTAACAACATCAAGCATGCTGCAATAAAAAAAACACAGATCATTTGAAACTTAACTTCTTGTTGAAAGTTATTCTTTAAAATGGAGAAGCTAACAAATTAGCAACATCCTTTTTGATAACACCTGCTGGGAAAGATTTTGCGCAGTGACCTGTTCGCCTTCAAGAAGGCATACATTTCCATGTTTTTGTAAAAACGGTTCCACCCATTAAGTCAAAATGTGATTGGTTGATTCCACTGTCACTCCAAAATGTTGCCCTAATACAGCTGAATGGCAGGTGCCTTTATCTAGCTTCTGATGGCCTACCCAATGGCTGATTTAGATAGCTAAACTTATCTCCCCAGAGACCAGCAAAGAAAAATCCTGATTGGATATTTTTTTCTCTTCAGTGTTAACCCTTTCCTTTCCAACAAAAACTGAAGAGATTAAATCAGAACATCATTGAAAATAATAATATAATAATTATTATATTATTATAATCATTATTTTATAAATCCTTAGTTCTTCTCTGAAGGCGTAGAAGGCCCATTGTTCCCCACTGTGTTTGGGTTAGTAATAATTTGTAGAGCGTCTCTATTTTCCCTCAGCATGCATCAATATGTTGTTCTGAAATATAAACACAGAAATACTGGACATTTTGAACTCTTATTATGGTGGTGATTTGACAAAATTCCAATCATGGTCTTGAATTGGACTCGCATTTTTCTGGTCTCGGTCTTGATTTGGTCTTGGACCCCCTTGTCCCGGTCTCGGTCTTAACTCGGTCTCGCCCCTCCGGTGTTGGTCTTGACACAGACTCGATTTTCTTCGGTCTTGGTCTTGAATCGGTCTCACATTAGGTGGTCTCGAACAAAACACTGCTTTGAGCTCTTTGTTTCAGAGCAGCTCTGCTTTCAGATCAAGTCTTGATTGATGAACTTTAGATGTTTCTATATATCACTTTGGCTATCTCTCATTGGCATAGGTTGGTAACTGCATCATTCTAATATAACTATGAAGTATGCTGAAAAATGTGCCGAATGCAATAGATCAAAAACTAGGGGTTGTGTTACATAATATTTATTTCCTGAAAGACGGCTTACTGTGCTGACTGAGGTCAGAAGCAAACACCATCGCAGCTCTGAATGAATGTGCTTTATCTGTCCTGTCATAAGCAGTTTTCTGAATCTGCACATTTGACACATGACTGTAAGTCACTTTGCATAAAAGCGTCTGCTAAATGGCATATATTATTATATTATTATAGTATTGATACATCAAGGCCTCAAATATTGTTACGCAACACTCTACCTTTCTTCCCTAAGGCTTCGTCAAGACTCTGTTTCTGTCACCCTATTCCCTATATAGTGCACTATTTTTGACCAGGGCTCTGGTTAGGAATATAATATTCCTAACATTATAACATATATATATATATATATATATATATATATATATATATAAATTATGCATTATATTATTGTATTATACATTATAATACAATAGAAGAATAGGGTGCCATGTCGGACGCCTTGTCTGTTTATGAGTGAACACTACCAAAGCCCCTTAATGTTCTTACTGTATTAGCCCTATTTTTAGATTTATAAAAAACAAATCAAGGGGTTTATCACCACTCAGCTCCTAACAAGATTAACCCTCGTTCAGTAATGACAACAATGATGAAGTACTCTGACGTAGTGCACACTACCGTACGTAGACTACACACAACCTCAGATAGGCTAAGCACTACACTGCAACGGAAAAATGTCATTTATACGGTAATTTTAGATATTATCAACCATTAAAAAAATCTAAAATGTTTAACTACAGCATACTGTAAATTATGGTGCATTGTGAGAAAATATCTGTATTTCTAATGGTACTGTAATTCCCCCCCACAGAACACAGTACAGTGATTATAATAGTGTAACTCCTTCACTCAGTGACACAGCACAAATCTAAACCTGCATCAGACAAGACTGTGTGTTGCATTTTAGTATACTGTACTTTGAGGTCAGGAATGGAACTTTTAAGAAGAGTTTGAAATGATTGGTAAAATGCTCCAGAGGATAAATAATTTCAACCAAGACCAAGAATGGTAAAACTTCTGATGAATTTACCTGCTGTCATCGTCCCTGGCAACCATCAGAGATATGTGATTGGAGGCTGACGCTGACCGGAGGATATCAACCGCCCTATAGGACCACAGGAGAGAGGAGAGCAGTTTTAACACTACACCCAGGTTCAGGAAATGATGTGTCTCAAATGGCACCCTATTCCCTTTATAGTGCACTACTTTTGACCAGGGCCCATAGGGAATAGGGTGCCATTTGGGACATACAAAGGTGGTTCTCCAACCGGACATAACACCTTCAGTTGACTTTTTCCACATTTTGTTAAGTTACAGCCTTTTATTCTAAAATTGATTAAACTAAAAAATGTCCTCATCAATCTACACACAATATCCTATAATGACAAAGCAAAAACTGATTTTCAGAAATGTTTGCAATTTATATATATATTTGTTTAAATACCTTATTGACATAAGTATTCAGACCCTTTGCTATGACACTCGAAATTGAGCTCAGGTGCATCCTGTTTCCATTGATCATCCTTGAGATGTTTCTACAACTTGATTGGAGTCCACCTGTGGTAAATTCAATTGATTGGACATGATTTGGAAAGGCACACATCTGTCTATATAAGGTCCCACAGTTGACAGTGCACGTCAGAGCAAAAAAAAACAAGCCATGAGGTCGAAGGAATTGTCCGTAGAGCGCCGAGACAGGATTGTGTCGAGGCACAGATCTGGGGAAGGGTACCAAAAAAAGTCTGCAGCATTGAAGGTCCCCAAGAACACAGTGGCCTCCATCATTCTTAAATGGAAAAAGTTTGGAACCACCAAGACTCTTCCTAGAGCTGGCCGCCCGGCCAAACTGAGCAATCGGGGGAGAAGGGCCTTGGTCAGGGAGGTGACCAAGAACCCAATGGTCACTCTGAAAGAGCTCCAGAGTTCCTCTTTGGAGATAGGAGAACCTTCCAGAAGGACAACCATCTCTGGAGCACTCCACCAATCAGGCCATTATGATAGAGTGGCCAGACGGAAGCCACTCCTCAGTAAAAGGCACATGTCAGCCCACTTGGAGTTTGCCAAAAGGCACCTAAAGGACTCAGACCATGAGAAACAAGATTATCTGGTCTGATGGAATCAAGATTGAACTCTTTGGCCTGAATGCCAAGCGTCATGTCTGTCGGAAACCTGGCACCATCCCTACGGTGAAGCATGGTGGTGGCAGCATCATGCTGTGGAGATGTTTTTCAGCGGCAGGGACTGGGAGACTAGTCAGGATCGAGGGAAAGATGAAGGGAGCAAAGTACAGAGAGATCTTTGATGAAAACCTGCTCCAGAGCTCTCAGGACCTCAGACTGGGGCGAAGGTTCACCTTCCAAAAGGACAACACAGGAGTGGCTTTGGGACAAGTCTCTGAATGTCCTTGAGTGGCCCAGCCAGAGCCCGGACTTGAACCCAATCAAACATCTCTGGAGAGACCTGAAAATAGCTGTGCAGCAACGCTCCCCATCCAACCTGACAGAGCTTGAGAGGATCTGCAGAGAAAAATGGGAGAAACTCCCCAAATACAGGTGTGCCAAGCTTGTTACGTCATACCCAAGAAGACTGGAGGCTGTAATCGCTGCCAAAGGTGCTTCAACAAAGTACTGAGTAAAGGGTCTGTATACTTCTGTTAATGTGATATTTCCATTTGTTATTTTTAATACATTTGCAAACATTTCACAAAACCTGTTTATGCTTTGTCATTATGGGGTATTGTGTGTAGATTGAAGAGGGGGAGAAAACAATTTCATCAATTTTAGAACAAGGCTGTAACCTAATAAAATGTGGAAAAAGTCAAAGAGTCTGAATACTTTCCGAATGCACTGTAGATACAGTAGACATACACATTCACATCATAGCCCTCTTGTACAAAATCCAGTTGTTTTTTTATTCAACGTGTGGCATGCAAGTAGTTTACTCCTGAGTTGAAAACATGTTTGAAAGACAAAAGCCAATGAAACATGCTTTAGAGACTAATAAGTTAAGGATCAGTAAGAATAAACAAGAAATCTAGTGCAGCGTCATTCACACCTTAGGTTCAGAGTCTACCACTGTGCACTACTGACCTACCTCTCGTTGGTTACTCGTCCTCCTAAACTCATATTATTGACTTCCAAAACGAGGTCGCCTGTTCTAAGCCGCCCTGGAACAGAGAGAGATAAAGAGCATTTTGCCATCATCAGCAATAGAGGTTGTTTATCAACTAGGGCTGTCAAACGATACAAAAAAAATATAGAGTTAATTACATGTTTTTCTGTGCAATTAATTCAATTAATCGCGCTACATTGGGTTGTAGGAATAATATATTTTGATTATAGGGGAAGAAAACACATAATAAACTCTATTCTAAGACAATAACAACAGCTCAGCCAGGTCTGAGTTCGTGTAAAATATAATACAGCTATTAAATATAGCCTAGGCTACTTATCCATGTTCTTCAACATTTAGTCACAAGCTGCTACTACTAGAATTGGGATAATTTGCTTAAAGTAACTGTCCAGGGAAAATTGCACTTATAAAAGTTCATATTCTGTTAACTCATACCCAAATAATGTTGTTGACTCATCATATACTCGTGTTTGTGGCCAAAGCATAAATTGGAGAAAAAACACTTGGAAAAACTCAACCTCAAACTTGTATCTCAAACAGACCGTTTAAAAAATGGTTGCTATTTCCTCATAGAGGATGACGTCTGAGGAGGATAAGCTGGCCAATCAGCGGTCTACTCATGTTAATGACCGGTATACGCCCACCCCATTCTGTTGTTGAAAAGCAGATTTTTAACATACTTAATAAATACAAAATTGGAAGGAAAACTATTTCACTCATATTTTAATTTACTATTGTATTTCATAGAAATGTGGAAACACTGGATTGTTACTTTAAATCTTTTGACCTGAGAACTACATCAAAAACAGTAGCTAAATGGAATGGATGTTCTGTTCTGATTAAATCAAGAGGCATTCAGCCATGGCATTGTAAACATTCTCGTTTGGTTAGCTAGCTAGCAAACGTTAGCATAACTAGCTGCCAGGGTTTCCTCCTGCAGTTGGACCTCTATTTTTCAACCATCAGCCCGGTTCCATTGGGTCGAGAGAAGGTGTCCGCCCTTGTCTCCTGCCTCTCGGGGAAAGCCTTGGAGTGGGTCAACGTGGTCTAGAGTGAAGGAGGAGACGCGTTCCAGGAAGTCTTCTCGCCTCTTCCAGGCAGTCTTTGATCACCCCCCCCAAAGGAAGAGAGGCAGGCGAGCGGCTGGTCCATCTGAGGCAGGGGACGAGGACCGCGCAGGACTTTGCCCTGGAGTTTAGAACTCTAGCGGCTGGGTCCGGGTGGAATGAGCGGGCCCTCATTGACCGCTTCCGGTGCAGCCTGCGAGAGGACGTCCGAAGGGAGCTAGCCTGCCGGGATACCACGTTGACCTTCAACCAACTGGTGGACATGGCCACCCGGTTGGACAACTTACTGGCTTCGAGAGGACGTCCTGGAAGGGTCCTGCCCATTTCACCCCCCCTCAACCCGGATCATGTTACAATGGAGCTGGGTGGTGCAGCGATCTGGGAGAACAGAGGACGACAGATCCAATGTAACTCTTGTGGCAAGAAAGGACATACTGCTTCACGCTGTCGACAGAGTTCTTATGGGTCTGGAGGCGGAAGGCAGGGCACTCTCGCGTCACTCCAGGTAGCACAAACCCACACTCATTCAGAGCCCTGTGCTGCGCACTTCACCAGCCACGTCCACTTCCCTGATTACACAGTAGTTCCCCAGTGTAAGGCGCTGGTCGATTCAGGCGCAGCTGGGAACTTTATGGACAGGTCTTTAGCTAATAGTCTATGTATTACATTGGTTCCCCTACCCATTCCATTGCCCATCAAAGCACTTGACAGTCGACCATTAGGGTCAGGTTTTGTTAGGGAGGTTACAGCACCAGTCACTATGATTAAGCAGGAGACCCATAGGGAGCAAATCACCTTTATATTATTGAGTCCCCTGATTTCCCTGTTGTGTTGGGCCTTCCCTGGCTAGCACTACACGATCCCACCTTGTCATGGCCGCAGAGGGTTCTCACAGGGTGGTCGCGAGAGTGGAAAGTCCAGACACAACCTCCACCGTGTGCATTCCCCCCGAATACCTCGACTTGGCGCACGCGTTTTCCAAAACGCATACGACCAAATTACCATCCCATCGGGCGGGGGATTGCGCGACAAATCTCAGAGTCATGTACAGTGGGGAAAAAAAGTATTTAGTCAGCCACCAATTGTGCAAGTTCTCCCACTTAAAAAGATGAGAGAGGCCTGTAATTTTCATCATAGGTACACGTCAACTATGACAGACAAAATGAGGAAAAAAAATCCAGAAAACACATTGTAGGATTTCTTATGAATTTATTTGCAAATTATATATATTCACCCGTCTAATATTACACCTCAGTGAGCACAGCAAAGCGCGTGTGTGTGTTGCGCTTAAAAGGGTCCGTGCGGAAACAGACTTTTGGGTGAAGAAATGGAGATGCGATTAACTGCTTCAAAAACATCTACGGCATTAAAAATTTCAAAAGTTAACTTCAATTAACACTTTAACTTTGACAGTCTTATTATCAACATAGCAGTAAATGAGACAAAACAAAAGCAAAACAAAAAAACAACAACAACCAGACATTAACGTACCATCCTGAGCAGCCAGACCTCCCGGTAACACCCGCTTGATGAAGATCCCAAACTCCTCCCGTGTTTGATCTCTGTAGCCACCTATGATTTTCACCCCTGGATGAGAAACAAGAGACAGAAGTAAGGTTAACACTTTATATGAACCACCAGTGGATAAAGTCTATCAAGTCTATCAAGCAGATAGTACATTTAGGGCAATTGCGAGGTACAATATCGAAGCTGCCATTATTTAGAATGTTGCAGTGTGTTAGCTAGTTTTTGCGGGGGGAAATGTCGCCCTTAGACTTTATATAATAAACATTTATTACTAGAGCCAAGAGTTTTTCCTACATAACCTGACCAGGGAAACCACTGGGCCCCAGTTATAGCTTTATAAAACATATACAGTTGAAGTCGGAAGTTTACATACACCTTAGCCAAATACATTTAAACTCAGTTTTTCACAATTCCTGACATTTAATCCTAGTAAAAATTCCCTGTCTTAGGTCAGTTAGGATCACCACTTTATTTTAAGAATGTGAAATGTCAGAATATTAGTAGAGAGAATGATTTATTTCATTTCTTTCATCACATTCCCAGTGGGTCAGAAGTTTACATACACTCAATTAGTATTTGGTAGCATTGCCTTTAAATTGTTTAACTTGGGTCAAACGTTTCGGGTAGCCTTCCACAAGCTTCCCACAATAAGTTGGGTGAATTTTGGCCCATTCCTCCTGACAGAGCTGGTGTAACTGAGTCAGGTTTGTAGGCCTCCTTGCTCGCACACGCTTTTTCAGTTCTGCCCACATATTTTCTATAGGATTGAGGTAAGGGCTTTGTGATGGCCACTCCAATACCTTGACTTTGTTGTCCTTAAGCCATTTTGTCACAACTTTGGAAGTATGCTTGGGGTCATTGTCCATTTGGAAGACCCATTTCCGACCAAGCTTTAACTTCCTGACTGATGTCTTGAGATGTTGCTTCAATATATCTACATAATTGTCCTTCCTCATGATGCCTTCCTATTTTGTGAAGTGCACCAGTCCCTCCTGCAGCAAAGCACCCCCACAGCATGATGCTGCCACCCCCGTGCTTCACGGTTGGGATGGTGTTCTTCGGCTTGCAAGCGTTCCCCTTTTTCCTCCAAACATAACAATGGTCATTATGGCCAAATAGTTCTATTTTTGTTTTATCAGACCAGAGGACATTTCTCCAAAAAGTATGATTTTTGTCCTCATGTGCAGTTGCAAACCGTAGTCTGGCTTTTTTATGGCTGTTTTGGAGCATTGGCTTCTTCCTTGCTGAGCGGCCTTTCAGGTTATGTCGATATAGGACTTGTTTTACTGTGGATATAGATACTTTTGTACCTGTTTCCTCCAGCATCTTCACAAGGTCCTTTGCTGTTGTTCTGGGATTGATTTGCACTTTTCGCACCAAAGTACGTTCATCTCTAGGAGACAGATCCCGTCTCCTTCCTGAGCGGTATGACGGCTGCATGGTCCCATGGTGTTTATACTTGCGTACTATTGTTTGTACAGATGAATGTGGTACCTTCAGGCGTTTGGAAATTGCTCCCAAGGATGAACCAGACTTGTGGAGGTCTACAATTTCTTTTCTGAGGTCTTGGCTGATTTCTTTTCATTTTCCCACGATGTCAAACAAAGAGGCACTGAGTTTTAAGGTAGGCCTTGAAATACATCCACAGGTACACCTCCAATTGACTCAAATGATGTCAATTAGCCTATCAGAAGCTTCTAAAGCCATGACATCATTTTCTGGAATTTTCCAAGCTGTTTAAAGGCACAGTCAACTTAGTGTATGTAAACTTCTGACCCACTGGAATTGTGATACAGTGAATTATAAGTGAAATAATCTGTCTGTAAACAACTGTTGGAAAAATTACTTGTGTCATGCACAAAGTAGATGTCCTAACCGACTTGCCAAAACTATAGTTTGTTAACAAGAAATTTGTGGAGTGGTTGAAAAACGAGTTTTAATGACTCCAACCTAAGTGTATGTAAACTTCCGACTTCAAATGTATACACTCACTGTAGCTACATGTATTCATAATGCACATCACATAAGAGGTCAAGTTCTATACTGACCCAGTCCTTTCTTGCAGTCACAGAACTCCAGTCTCTCGATGGCCCGGTTGATGCCGTGAGGTCCCATGATAGTCCTGGAACACACAAACACCTCCTCTGTCACGTCATCCCAACGTTTACCATTTGACAAATAAATATTAAGCCCTTCCTCGTCGACGGAGAAAGAAGAAGACTTATGATGGATAGAGGGAGAGAATGGAAGAGTTAAAGGAAGAGAGAAAGCAAGAGAGAAAGAGTGGACACCTCTCACAGTCACAGGGTTCGTCGAATGAGCTTTCATCTTCGGTCTCGAGATGTAATTGAATCATTGTCCAAAGAATTTCGTTAGAATAGGTTCCCAGAGCGACACCAATTAGTTCCATAACCAGCTGTGGACTGGCTTTAGAGACGAGCTGGGATGAGATGTGTCAGGAGCTGCCGCAAGAGTGTGCAGAGAGAGTGTGTGTAGGAAGTGTGTGTGGGCGTCCAGAGCAGCTGCAAGTGTGTGTGGAGAGTTTGAGGTGAGAGTGTGTGAGGTGGGTGTGTGTGTCGGTGCGTTGGGAGTGTATGTGGGGTCAGAAGCAGCCGCCAGACACAGACTGACAGGGTTTTAGCATCAGGGGAAAACAAAAATACACTGTCTCATCTCTTCACAGGGAATTTGACTGGCAGCATCACATCAGCTCAGGCTGTCCAGACCAATCTCCCTCTGAGCCATTCTCAGCATTAAAATGCACCATATGACAGTAATAACCAAGGACTTAGCCCAATCTGAAAAGAAGATTTGTTGTTGAGAATTAATGCCATTATGCTGGTACATTGTACAAGGTCAGAAGTTTTTCCAGGACAGCTCATGTGATCAGGGAAAAGTCTTCGTTGCCCTAATGATTTAATATAGTAAGGGCCAGGAGTTTCTTTCTGAATCCGTCAACAGGAAAAATTCCTGGCCTTATACTGTATACAGTATGAGTACTTCAGTCGATATCTCCCCCCAGGGAAAGAAAACGTGTGCCTGTGTGTGTGTGTGTGTGTGTGTGTGTAAGTTTCATTGCAAGCTGCGTCACCGATAGGAGTAAATAGGTTACAGCAGCAAAGAGCTTCTAGATCTTTTCAATTATGAAAAAGTAATTACAGTCTAAACAGGTGCATTAGGTATTGGAACACACTGCTGCCAATCTGCAGACCTGGGAGGACAGGACAGGGCAGGCAAGGTAATCCTCTGGACAGACACACAGGAAGAAGCAGAGGACAAAGGCTTTGGGCTCAAACTAGGGCATTGGATGACTACAGTCAATACAATTGTTTCAAACGTAGTGTACACACAGACGTTGACGTCAGGTGCATTTTAGGTGCTGAATGAAGGGTGAAAATATGTATTTTCCAGACATCAAAAATACATATTTTCCGGACGTTGAAAATAAGCATTTTCCGGACTTTGAAATCAGGTGCATTTTACGTGCTAAGTGAAAATACATATTTTCCGGACATCAAAAATACATATTTTCCGGACATCAAAAATACGTATTTTCTGGACATTGAAAATACATCATTTACAGATGTTGAAAATACGTATTTTTCGGTCATTGATTCTATGGCCAAATTTCAACTGCACATACAGTGCATTCGGAAAGTGTTCAGACTTTTTCCACATTTTGTTAAGTTACAGCCTTATTCTAAAATGGATTAAATAAATACAAATCCTCACCAATCTACACACAATAGCCCATAATGAAAAAGTAAAAACAGGTTTTTAGAATTATTTTGCCTTATTTACATAAGTGTTCAGACCCTTTGCTATGAGACTCGTAAATTGAGCTCAGGTACATCCTGTTTCCATTGATCATCCTTGAGATGTTTCTACAACTTGATTGGAGTCCACCTGTGGTAAATTCAATTAATTGGACAGGATTTGGAAAGGCACACATCTGTCTATATAAGGTCCCACAGTTGACAGTGCATGTCAGAGCAAAAACCAAGCCACGAGGTCGAAGGAATTGTCCGTAGAGCTCCGAGACAGGATTGTGTCAAGGCACAGATCTGGGAAGGTCCCCAAGAACACAGTGGCCTCCATCATTCTTAAATGGAAGAAGTTTGGAACCACCAAGACTCTTCCTAGAACTGGCCTCCCGGCCAAACTGAGCAATCGGGGGAGAAGGGCATTGGTCAGGGAGGTGACCAAGAACCGGATGGTCACTCTGACATAGCTCCAGAGTTCCTCTGTGGAGATGGGAGAACCTTCCAGAAGGACAACCATCTCTGCAGCACTCCACCCATCAGGCCTTTATGGTAGAGTGGCCAGAAGAAAGCCACTCCTCAGTAAAAGGCACATGACAGCCCGCTTGGAGTTTGCCAAAAGGCACCTAAAGGACTCAGACCATGAGAAAAAAGATTATCTGGTGTGATGAAACCAAGATTGCACTCTTTGGCCTGAATGCCAAGCATCACGTCTGGAGGAAACCTGGCACCATCCCTATGGTGAAGCATGGTGGTGGCAGTATCATGCTGAGGGGATGTTTTTCAGCGGCAGGGACTGGGAGACTAGTCAGGATCGAGGGAAATATGTCGGAGCAAAGTACAGAGAGATCCTTGATGAAAACCTGCTCCAAAGCGCTCAGGACCTCAGACTGGGACAAAGGTTCACCTTCCAACAGGACAACGACCCTTTGCACATAGCCAAGACAATGCAGGAGTGGCTTCGGGACAAGTCTCTGAATGTCCTTGAGTGGCCCAGCCAGAGCCAGGACTTGAACCCGATCTAACATCTCTGGAGAGACCTGAAAATAGCTGTGCAGTGACACTCCTCATCCAACCTGACAGAGCTTAAGAGGATCTGCAGAGAAGAATGGGAGAAACTCCCCAAATAAAGGTGTGCCAAGCTTGTAGCATCATCCCCAAGAAGACTTGAGGCTGTAATCGCTGCCAAATGTGCTTCAACAAAGTAGAGTAAAGGGACTGAATACTTATGTAAATGTTTTATTAAAACATTTGCAAACATTTCTAAAAAGCTGTTTTTGCTTTGTCATTATGGGGTATTATATGTAGATGATGGGAAAAAACAATTTAATACATTTTAGATTAAGGCTGTAACGTAACAAAATGTGGAAAAAGTCAAAGGGTCTGAATACTTTCCGAATGCACTGTAAATCCTCAAGGAAGTAAGCATTATGTCACAATATATTTTTTCAAGCCTCTTAATATAGGAAAGAGGAGCCAACTGACTATTGCAACAGAATATATATTCAAATAACTCCCATCTGTCACATGCACTTAAAACTGGCAGCAATGAAGTTCAAAGTAGTCCAAACTACAGAATAAACCAACAATACCATTTCAACTAAATCAAATCAAAGTTTATTTGCCATATACACAGATTAGCAGATGTTAAAGCAGGTGCAGCAAAATGCTTGTGTTTCTAGCTCAAGCAGTGCAGTAAATGTCTAACAGTACAATACTGATACACAAAAAAAAGATGAAACAAGAAATTAAGAAATATCAGAATGAGCAATATCAGAACGAGCAATGTCAGAGTCCGGAATATGAATAGGTGGTGTGTATAGACAGTATCAACAATATATAAGTAGGAAAAATGTATGTACAGCGGTAGTTACAAAGGATGACCTATGTCGAGAATACAGCATGTATTGGGACTGGCGCCGGAGGAGATGGCTAACGTTTTATGGGCTTCTAACCAATTGTGCTATTTTGTGTGTTTTTTCACGTTGTTTGTAACTTATTTTGTACATAATGTTTCTGACACCGTCTCTTATGACCGAAAAGAGCTTCTGGATATCAGAACAGCGATTACTCAACTCGAACTGGACGAAGGTTCTTTCTTTAACGCGAAGGATTTACTCCAGATACCGGACCAGGCCCAAATCCCTGTCATTCGCATAAAGAAAAGATGCCGATACAGGGGACGCAGGTCCGGGTGCCTTGTTAGAATTCGTCGGCTAGTGGGTAACCCACCTCTACCATCAGTCCTATTGGCCAACGTGCAATTATTGGAGAATAAACTGTTCAAAACTATCCTACCAACGGGACATTAAAGTCGTGGCTGAATGACGACATGGATAATATAGACAAGAGGTGGCGGTCTGTGTCTATTTGTCAATAACAGCTGTTGCGCAAAATCAAATATTAAGGAAGTCTCAAGGTTTTGCTCGCCTGAGGTAGAGTAACTCATGATAAGCTGTAGACCACACTATTAACCAAGAGAGTGTTCATCTATATTTTTCGTAGCTGTCTATTTACCACCACAAACCGATGCTGGCACTAAGACCGCACTCAATGAGCTGTATAAAGCCATAAGCAAACAAGAAAATGCTCACCCAGAGGCGGCGCTCCTAGTGGCCGGGGACTTTTATGCAGGGAAACTTAAATCTGTTTTACCTCATGTCTACCAGCATGTTACATGTGCAACCAGAGGAAAAAAAACTTGCATACAAAGCTCTCTCTCGCCCTCCATTTGGCAAATCTGACCATAATTCTATCCTCTTGATTCCTGCTTACAAGCAGGAGGTACCAGTGACTCGCTCAATACGGAAGTGGTCATATGACGCAGATGCTAAGCTACAGGACTGTTTTGCTAGCACAGACTGGAATATGTTCCGGGACTCATCCGATGGCATTGAGGAGTATACCACATCAGTCACCAGCTTCATCAATAAGTGCATCGATGACGTTGTTCCCACAGTGACCGTACGTACATACCCCAACCAGAAGCCATGGATTACAGGCAACATCCGCACTGAGCTAAAGTGTAGAGCTTCCGCTTTCAAGGAGCGGGACTTTAACCCGAACACTTATAAGAAATCCCGCTATAACCTCAGACGAACCATCAAACAGGCAAAGTGTAAATACAGGACTAAGATTGAATCCTACTACACCGGCTCCGACGCTCGTCGGCTGTGGCAGGGCTTGCAAACTATTACGGACTTTTACATATGGTCCTCTGTAGCTCAATTGGTAGAGCATGGCGCTTGTAACGCCAGGGTAGTGGGTTCGATCCCCGGGACCACCCATACGTAAAAAATGTATGCGCACATGACTGTAAGTCGCTTTGGATAAAAGCGTCTGCTAAATGGCATATGGTCC